AACAAAAACAAAAGGAGTAGTTGCACCTTAGAACATTTCTATTTACTAAATGTTTTAGGAATACATTTTATTAGGAATTAGAGGTGATATATATTTTCTGATACACAATGTATTGGGAGGATAAACTTTTTTTTTTTTTTATAAATTATTAAAATCCGTTCTATTTAGCTGCAAAATGTTAGCCTTGAACAAGGTCCATCAAAAGCTTGCTTGAATAATATTTAATGCATCCGCTCTAGCTTTTTTGAAGATCATTCAGGATGCTTTAAAGGAAAACTCAAGGCACCATCACCACCACAGTGAACACCTCCAACTGAATGTAGTCAAACCATTTGCTAATCTCCCGATTGCTAATCCTTGCCCTTCCCGCTCCTTTTCCGGAAGCTTACTCTCAGCCAATTACCTAAGACCATTAGCACCTGGAAGCTGAGGAGCTGACTACCCAAACTGAGAGAATACTGTAAGATAATAGTTCTAATCAGTTGATGAATAAGTTCATATCTGAGGATTAACAATACCTGAAATATTTCTTTGGGAAATGGACAGTAGATTATCAGTGTGTCCATCAATTATATTTAAGGTGGCATTCTGAATAGCCAGTCCTTGCTATGGAAAATATAATCATAGAGATTAGAAATATCCGCCAAAATTACATTTTATACAAATACCTGTGCTGGTAAAGATATATCATAAGTTGGTGTGCTTCATGTTTGACTTTAAAATATACTACCCTAATAGCAGCATGTAGTTAGGTACAATTTGTAAAAGGTTACTTGCATAATAACAATGAGGAGATTGAAATGGTAATTTATAATATTTGTTGCTTAGTGAGGTTAGGTAATTACAGCCACCACCCATGTGTGCAGTTTGGGGAAGACACTAAATCCCCCAGTGTCTGAGGTGGATTTTGTAAATTCTGGGCCCAAATTTAAAGAATTTGGATCAGGATTTCAGCCATCCGGAGGCGTTTGGTCTGGTTAAAATACAGACTAATTCTGGTTCATTCAGAGCTGAGTTGCAAAATCTGAACATTGTTAAATAGTGTGAACAATATCTGTATTTTGCAGTCTGTACGGCTCAGTATGCAGTAACACTGCAGTGGTTATGATATGAAGAGTATTCTGGTGCCATTCTCTGGTAATGGGACAAACTCTTTTACAATTGTTTGTCCTCTAAGCTGATTCTGCTGGAGCCAATCATGCTCTGAAGCAGGTTTTACAGCATCCAGCCACTCCTCGCAATCATTCATTGGTAGTCCTATAGTGGCATGACAGGAATTATACTCGGGTGACAGGGAAAGTATAAAAGTTTTTTTCCCCGTCCCTGAGACTTACCTTAAACCAGGGAGGGGAGGAATCTTGATCCCTGGTAGTCTGGTGAGATATTCAGTATGTCTGCACCCCCAGAGGGTGCAGATAGTTCCTTCCGGCTGGCGTCGGGAGATGTGTCAGAGTGTTGCCGCAGGTTCTGATATTGATCAAGTGATGAGGTTCCTCCCTTTATTCAAGCACCGGCCAGGAAAATCTCCCCTGTCGTCCTGAGTCACACACAGTAGGATAATGGGGCTGGCTGGTGAGGGAGTTCCCCAAACGCCATGCCACCCCAAACGCCATGCCACCAAGGCGTGGCCTTGGTGACCCTGTAGCAAATCCACCCTGTTAATTGGCTAAGAGCATCAGCAGACCACTCTAGCCAATGAATTAGATTCTTTGCATTCTATTACACCTCTGGCAGCAAAGGGGTTAAATTCTGTATGTGCAGCGTTTCAAATCGAAACACTGCATATAAAGATTCCATATACTATGACCACTTCATACCACTGCAAACTTTGCAATTGTAAACAGTGTTGTTTTTGTTTCTAAGAAATGGCAATGTTTACATTTTTGATTTCTCATTCCTCTAATGGGGCTTTGGACTTAAATAGATTCAAGGATCAGCAGGCAAACATTGGTGGCAGAGAAGGATAACTGTGCACTTAATGGTTTTCTATGACAAGCACTTCTCATAGAAAATCTCTGTCTCAGCAGTGGATTGCAGGTAATTTTTTAAGAGTGATATTTAAACTTTTATTTATTTAAAAAGGGAGGTCAGGGGGTAGGGCCAGACCGCCATGGTGACCGGTAGCATGCAGGAGAGGCTCCTGAGGGATCTGGCCTTCAAGGCTGATGATCAAGGTTCATATGCTCAATTTGAGCCTAGAAATTGCAGCAAAGTAGAAGTGTGGCCATTGGTGCTGCAGCAGACCCTGTGATCGGGACTTTTGGAGCCCATGAGGGCGAGATGAAGCTTCAGGGTCTGCAGCCTATTCAGGAGAGGAGTGGGGTGGACGGCCGCTGTCCTGCTCTTTCCTCCAGCTCCCACACCGGCTCTTTTTCGCAACTACTGGTCCCGTTTCCCCCTCCCCTCCCCTCGGTGGGCCAGTGGGGGTTATCCCAGTCCCCTCTGGAGCATCCAAAGTTGCACTGAAAGAGAGCTTACAACTTACTTTGCATTTGGAATCCCACGCACTGAAGTTAAAATGGCTGCCAACTATACTCTTGAGAGGTCCCCCACACTGATTAGCCCGCGTACATATCCCCATATGCTGAAGTGGAACGGCCTCGGCTTCTGTTTAGGGGCCACCCTGAAGCAGCTCACTGCTACAACAGGTGGAGAAGGGCCTTGCTCACACCTATGAACGAAACCTCTCAACATTGACAGACACCCGGGAAGATCAACCCCTGCAGGAACTCCGCTGCTGACTCCTGATAGAGCTGGACCCGAGGGCTCAAGATATGGCCCATGCTATGACCTGGGGCTGGAGGAGTGGTAAACGCTGAGTTTGCCTTTAAGCTGGGACATTACTACTATCACACTCAGCCATGCCAGTGATGGGAGTAGGTAGAGGAGCCATTCTGTTCAGCTAGCATGTTTCTCTGCCATTACCACGAGCCTTGTGGTCATTAATTCAATAAATGATGGATATCTGCTGAAGGGGGGCTCCAGTGTCTTTTACCAGTTGCAATGATCTGCTTGTTTAACTTGTTTAAAATACCTATTTCTGACCCTATGCAAATGATCTGCTTCACTGCTCTTTATCTCTGATTATCACTACTTTGCATTGAACAAATCTTGTCTTTAAAAAAAAAGAAAGAAAGAAAGAAATGTGCAGTTCATTGTTTATTGTATTACTTGCTGTATATCAATTTCTTTATGTTGTAAATGAGCAATATCCCTGCTGTATTCCTGCACATCAAAAATAAAGAATAAAAAAAGGGGTCAATTAATCTAAACTTATAAAGGAACAATGGGGACTAAAACAATACATCTATTGTTTTATTAGAGTTTTCCTTTAAAGTTACAAGTGTGGTATCATATTTTGATTTACATAGTAATGTCAGTTCTATACGCAATAAATAATCGCACAAAATAAAGACTTAACTCTTGGGCAATATAAGACATAACAAAAGTAAATGGAAAAGTCCATATTTATTGTCTGTGTATTCATATGCTAACGCTGTGCATTATATGCCTATTCTGTATATTTTAGTTGGTAAACGATAAATCATATCAAACATTTAACACATAATGTATATGTAAGCCGTGGAGACAGATATTTTATGATAGACATATTTAAATATTAATATGTTTTAGAGCACATATTGTTGGCCGTCCTAGTAAAATAGCTTGAACGTCGTTGAAACTTTACAAATGATTGTTTAGCTTTTCATGACTGTATTCTTCGAATGCTTAGAAATTGAATACTATAAAACATGTGTAAGTAACGGTTAACGTTGCAAAGCCATCGAGCTTGCGTAGCCGCTATGCAAGATAAAAAGACATGAATTAGAGCTTTTAATATTCCTCATTTTGACAAGTGTGTCTGGTTAGGTCAAATGGGATACATAATGAGGAAAATTTCTTTGAGTGTTAAATAATGTATGTATATTCTACAGCAATGTAGAGCGGAATTAAAGTGAACTTGTCATCTACAAATGGTGCAGACGCCTTCAGGTAGGTAAAGATTCAATCAATATTGATCGCAAAATAAAAATAAAAAACACAGTTGACTGAAGATTATTTATCGCTCATCCAGTATGATGTCTTTGAATGGTGCATGAAAATCCCTCAATTCCTAGCAAGTGGGTAAACACCTGTAATAGAGAGGCCAGGTTTTTATATTTTTGTATACAAACATTCTTCATTCATCGTATAAAATAGGTATGTTTGACAGACTTACTAATACATGGGTTTGTAGCAAGCTAAAGGGTTTATTTAAGTATAATTGTCTCTATATCCAGTGTTTTTCTTGTTCTCTGACACGGTTTGTTGTTCTGTTTCTATTTAATAGCAGTTTTTACCAGTACGGTTTTATACTCTTCATTCATTTAAATCCTGTTAAAGTTCCTTCAGTTAGTATAACTGAAGATGATTGCACAAGCTATCCTGTTCTTCATCATTGTAGTTTTTATAGCTATGCTAAATACCCTACCTGCAAGTACCAAGGAGGTCATCACAAAGTTATGTTTATATAAGGGTGTAATAATTTAGACTAACACAATATACCATAAATGCATTATATTGCTTAAAATTGTGTAATAGCTTCCATTTGGTGGGTTTAATTATACTATACAGAGTTATGATATACTGAGGTCTGAGAGATAGGAGCAGAAACAAATATGGGGAAATAAAAGACAAGGTTGCTGTTATGTTGACCCACTATGGATTTAGTAGGGGGTTAACCCTAATTAATCTGTTAGTAAAAGTAAACTAATGTTTGTAAAACTCTGTTCCTGGAAACTGGCAGGGTTATTTACCAAAGTGAGAATTCAAAGTGAACTTCTGATTAATATGGCATTTGTGTGAATTATATTGTTTTGTGTATAGAAACTCATAACTATTAGCAGTCTATCTAGGACTATTGATTAAAAATAAATATATATATATATATATACTCAAAGACTTTTTCTATGTATACAAAAGGCCTATTTCTCTCAAATATTGTTCACAAATCTGTCTTAATCTGTGTTAGTGAGCACTTCTCCTTTGGCCTTTTATTGTGGCCAGCCTAAGGCACACCTGTGCAATTATCATGCTGTCTAATCAGCATCTTGATATGCCACACCTGTGAGTGGATGGATTATCATGGCAAAGGAGAAGTGCTCACTAACACAGATTTAGACAGATTTGTGAACAATACTTTAGAAAAATAGGCCTTTTGTGTACATAGAAAAAGTCTTAGATCTTTGAGTTCAGCTCATGAAAAATGGGGGCAAAAACAAAAGTGTTGCGTTTATAATTTTGTTCAGTGTATATATATATATATATATATATATATATATCTATATCACTACTCTTCACATGCTTTTGCTTAAGTATGGAAGCCTGAGAGGGATTAGTTAAGGTAAAGCTGACTGCGCACTATGCAAATGCTCTTGCTGCTTCAGTCACTCTGTGACATGTTCCCTTTCTTCTACACTCACTACATACACTTTTTCTCTGTCCCAGACTGTATAACAGGAGCTTCTGCCTGCTAGTACGACGGTTAGGAGAGGAGTGGACAAGCAAGTGCAAGGGGACAGTCCTTAGAAAGCATAGAGCTGGAGCTCTATTAGATGCATTTATGCCAAGCTCAGGATGCCGTCTGCACTGTATACCCTTGGTAGGTCATCTTGCATGATTGGCAGACAGCCTGACAAGCATTCACACCAGACTGACCATCTAATTCTTCATGCAGACATGCCCCCTTTTTGCGCATGTTTGTCCCTTTGGGCGGTTCTGGTTACGTGATTTACATCAGTTTCCCACCCTTTTACCCCACTGACCGAAATCCTGCTTCACCGGACACTGCTGTTAGGGGTATGCACGTGCTTGAAAGATGAAAGCGAGAGATTAGCATAAGGTATGTGTTTTCTGATAGCTCTATCCTGTGAGTTGCCCTCCAGCACCACCCCTACCAGATACATGACACTTGGATGGTATGACTGTTTTAGAGTTTTCTGTCGATAAGATTCTATAATTAGGCCCATCATAATTGTCAACATCAGGCCCAATGGGCTATTTATCTGGCCCTGCCTATGCTCTGTTGGAGAGGCCATTTTCTGTCCTGAGATATTTGTTAATGTTATTTAGTTGTTGGCCTCTTCTCCACATTCTGAAATATTTTATTCCACTGAGGCTTGGTCTAATTTAAGAATTTCCTACCATTCCTATGACCCACAAACAAATGTGAGACATCTTGCCAAAGGGAATGTTCTTGGCCTTGTGGCTCCTTCGCCAGAGAACCATGGAACATTTTAAAGCAGGGGTCAGCAACCTATGGCATGTGTGCCATGCATGATGCTCAAGGTGCTTTTGCACGCACTCAAGGCTGCCAGAGACAAATGGACTCTGGCCTATGAGGAGTCTTAGTGGGACTTCACCTATCTGCTAGTGAAAACCAAGTGGTGACTGCAGGTAGTGAGGGACAATCCTCAATTTACGCATTCCATCATTTATTGGAAGTGATCTCAGATCACTTCCTCCCAGCACTTGTGAAAGGGAATCCACACTGGAGAAGAGCAGCCAGCAGCAGCTATCGCAGCTCCTGCCCTTGACCTGTACCTGACCAGCCTGGTCCCCACTGGACCCATAGATATATATCAGTATATCTACTGATATACAGTAGATATACACAGAGCTGCAGAAGAAGTCTCTTCCTACTACAAATAATACAAACAGCCCATACACAGTCTCCACAAACACAACACCACTGACAATTCACATACACACACACAACCCCACAAGCAGCTTCTCAAAAGCAATATCACAAGCAGCCCACCCCCCCATACACACACCACCAAACACACACAGTGTCATAACATCCACACATAAGCAGCCCCCATGCACAGCCCACATTCATAGGTATAATACACAATACCACAAACTACTCATGGACATATACAATATAACAGCCCACATACACACAAATGCAATACTACAAAGCAGCTACAACACCCATAAATAACAGAAGCAGAATATGGAAATTGTACAGTATTATATATATTGAAAGTATTTAGAAAATTGGACAGACTAGATGGGCCGAATGGTTCTTATCTGTCGTCACATTCTATGTTTCTATGTACAGCGCTACAGAATTTGCTGGCGCTATATAAATAATATAATAATAATAATAATACACACCTCAATTTAAAAAAATAGGACCATCATGCCAAGGGACTTCAAAATCTTGATTTGGCACACTACTTCTAAAGGTTGCCTATCCCTGCTCTAAAGCTTCATCCGGTCTCACTTTCAGAGAGTTGGAAAGCATGCACAGATGAGCAGGAGGGACCATTGCAAAGAACCAAAACAGTGCACTCCCCATGCCCTGACCTTATGGTTAACATGGTCGCTCATATATTTCACTTAGTCTGGGAAATTGCATTTATTTATTTATTTTTATTCTACAGTGTGCCTTATGCGTGATCATTAACATTATGATATTCCTTGTTCACATTTTGTCACGTTTCTTAAGCTTTTTTTCTAAAACTCGCACTGTTGCAGTGGGACTTGGTCCAAGGCAACCACGTTAGTATGATTGTTCTGATTGGAGAGATGGGACTGGTTTTTGGCCTTTTGAAAACCACCTCTTCCTAAAGATTTGGATGAAGAGTGCATCTGGGCCAGTGATAAAAGGAACCAGCTGCAGTCCTCACCTTGTGTCTGCTCTCGTCTGGGTGGAGGAGAAGGAATGTGAAGCAACCTGAATGTCCAAGGCACAAGAGACATGAAGACCGAATTAGATTGTTCATAGTGGCTTGTGTACAGGTAAAACTTTAGCACAGAACATGTGGAGATATTGAACCAAGAAGTCATGCACCATGGGCTTCAATAAAGAAAATCATGATTAATTGATTTCACGCTGGGCAGCACTCACAAGTCTCTTCCTAGCAGTTTGTATAAAGGATAATCATCTACAAACATGGCTATCAAGCCACCCAGTATCCTTAGTGAAAATACTTGAATAGATAGTTGCACTATTATTGTGTTTACAGTGACAAATGTCAACATCCACTTAGTTTGTTGATCCGTTTTATCCCTTAAAACATGAGAAAGTAAACTATCTTTGCTAATATATTTCAGTTAAATTGACCACAATTTCGAATGAAGTCAGCTGTTACCACTAGAAAATCATAGGCTTTGAAGTTGATTGTTTTTGCAGTTGCACAGCCACCCATATTTGAGTAATAAGGTTTTTATAACAACAACAAGTATTTATAGTGCACTTCTCACAAACGAAATAGCAGAACTTCATGTTAGAAAGTGCAAAATGCATTGTGTCTGTAGTGATATCCATATTGCCTGCAAATGAATGTCTGTTATTAAAATGCAATCTAAAGATCCTTGGCAAGAGTAACCATAACTGACGTGCCGGGTCCCATTTGCAGAAGAGCTATATGAAAACATATATAACGTTGGATAAAAAATATATAAATTCAGAATGTCTCACATTTGCTAATATGTCTAACAGTTCTGTGGAGATGACAGGTACTTAAAGGGGCACTATGGTCACCAAAACAACTTTAGCTTTATGAAACAGTTTTGGTGTATAGGTCATGTCCCTCGAATCTCACTTCTCAATTTGTTGCCATTTAGCAGTCAAATCCCTTTTGTTTTTGTTTACGCAGCTATACCCACACCTCCCCTGGCAGTGACTCACACAGTCTGCATGAAAAAAAAATAGTTTCATTATCAATCAGATGCAGGGGAGGAAAAGACATTGTGCTGCCTGGGTCCAAGGATGAAATGCTGCACCCCACCCCCGCCTTGCACCAAAAGCAGGCCAACATCCATTATGTTATGCAGTGTCTGTAGTGAATGCAATGTCTGTTTGTGTAATGGATGCAGTGTGTCTATCATATTCAGTGTGTAGTGAATGCAGTGTGTGTATGTTCAGTGAATGCAGAGTCTGTGTGTAGCGGATGCTGCGTTTGTGTGTCATGGATGCTGCGTCTGTGTGTTATGGATGCTGCGTCTGTTATTGTGTCATGGATGTAGTGTGTATTGTATGCAGTGTGTGTATTAAATATATTGTCTGTGTGTGTATACTGGAGGCAGTATGTGTAGTGGATGTATGTGTGTGTGTGGTGGATGCAGTATCTGTGTAGTGGATGTAGTGTCTATGTATGTAGTAGTGTTTGAGGGTGACAGTGTCAGGGTGGCAGTGGGAAGCAGGGTGAGAGGGTGACAATAACAGGGTGACAGTGGGGAGGCAGGGTATGAGGGTGACAGTGGGGGTGACAGGCTGTGAGTTGGGGGCTGGCTGTTGGAAGGCTATGACCAGCCTTCCCACATTTACATAACTGGTCTGTAACTCCGCCAGGTGTGAGATGCAGACCAGGTTTTCAAGAGCTCTGATTAGAGTATTGCCATGATAACCAGCGTCAATGCTCTGGGAGCCTTCCATCATATGGTCTGCAGCTCTGCACACGGGGGAGCTGCAGACGAGAGGCAGAGGCAGTTTGGGGCGGCAACATTTTTGTTAAAGTCCGGCCTCGGGCCATTGCCCCAGTCCGTCCTATGGACGGGCCGGCACTGATCAAATATAACATCCTTTAAAAGTTTTATCTTTTGCTCTTTAAATTTCACTTTAATTACATACATGAGGCTCCAGCAGAGTCTAGCAAGCTATTAACAGAACAGGATATAAGAAATTCTAAATTAAACAGTATTTACAACTACGGAAGTTTAAACATTAGATGACTCTATACAGGAAGTGTTTAGGAAGGCTGTGTAAGTCACATGCAGGGAGGTGTGACTATGGTGGCATAAACAAAGTGATTTAACTACAAAATGGCAGAGAATTGAGTGGCCAGATTGCAGGGGTATGATCTATACACTAAAACTGCTTCATTAAGCTAAAGTTGTTTTGGTGACTATAATGTCTGTTTAACGTTGACTTGTCACATTCATTCCAATTTTGTTTTGGTGACTATAGTGTCTGTTTAACATTGACTTGTCACATTCATTCCAATTTTGTAGGACACAGTAGGTCCAAGGTCATGACATGACAAAGGGACATTTTTGGGGCCCAAACATTGGGTTAGCTAAAAGAGTCTCCATGACAGTGCCTGTTTTTTTCTTTATCTTTAAGGCTATGCAAGTGGGCCATTAGAATAAAAAGTATCTTCTGTGT